GAAGCCATCCATTTCCTAACAGCACCTTTTCTAATAAATAGGTGCAGACCATCCTCAAGCCAAGTGTCCAAAAGGCTCTTTTCAGATGCAGGACCAGCAATGTAAGCATTAGCAAGAAAAGTAGGAATGTCCATTTAGAACAAGGTCCCTAGGACTCGGGGACGGTTCCCATCCGATTGTTCGGGTGGAGCTTGCTGCATACCGGGAACTGGTATTTCCGTGAATGAGTGCCCACCGCTGTCTAGTCCCACCACTGCAGAAGGAGCACGGGGTGGCAGCAGTGTCTCAGAGCAGCGCTGTCTGGGAGGTGGGGGCCGGTGAGATGAGTTCCTCCAGAGACAGCCTCTCCCACGATCTCCCTCAGAACATTTGGGCCCTCACTGAACCCTGCTCCGTCCCTCTTCTATTCTCTCTGCGTAGTGAAGCAGCAAGCGCTGGTCTGGGGATCCTGAGTTTCTGTCATTTCCTTGCTGGGCAGCCCTGGGATAATGACCTGCCCCTCCTGAGCCTCAGGTTCCTCTTCCGTAAAATAGGACTAATTCCTCCTTTTTGGCCATCTGGGTCACTGTGAGGATGGCCTTTGGGCAATTCCAAATATGAGGCAGTGTTTACCTGCTGCTCTAAGCTCGGAGGTGCTGACTGAGTCACGGGCCAGTGAAGGCAGGGGCTCTTCTCAGGCGATTTCACAGCTGTACCCCCTGCCCTTACCTCCCCCCCCAGATGTCCCCAGTCCTGGCTGGACTTCCATGTGGCCCCCAACCTACAGGGGACAGTGAGAGACCCTTTGTCTGGCTACAGGCATGAGGGATTCTTGAGAAACCTGCATTTCAGGCATTTTACCTGGCCGGAGCATCCTGGGGGAATACTCTGACTTATACCAAGGAGCCAGATGCAGCAACTTACAAGGTAGACCTCCTGGCTTCCCTGAGAGCTCCCCTGATGCCCCAGGCTTGTAGGACATGTCTGCGAGGGCAGGTGACAGGGGAGCCACGAGGGTCCCTCAGGAGCTCAGCCTGCCAGCTGTCCCTACCTTCTCCCAGGCCACCCATTCAACCTCTTTGTTCTCTCCAGTATGTGGCTCTCCTCATGGTGCCATCTGAGGACCACCACCCCCCAACCATTACACCATCATAATGACATTCAGTGGATCCCCAGAGAAACACTTCTGGAACAGTGGGTCACACGTTCATGCCCCCAGCAACTAACTCTGGAGTTTCTACTCTAAGAGATATCGGTGGGACTGGAACATGGGGAAGTGCCTTGGGTGAGGGTGGGAGAGTGGTAACCAGTACAGGGAATAATCAGGACTTAGTCATTTGGGTCACGAAGAGGAACACATTCACATACAGTCCGACGCTCAGAGCAAAGGGCAGCAAGGCTGGTGGGTTTGCTCTGTGCAAAGAAGGAACAGGAAGGGGCTGTAAAGTCTGGTTTCTGAGATCAGATATGTCACTAACAATCTAGTGTGAATATATACACCAGCTCACTGGAGGATATTTGCATTTACAAGCCTTTCCTCCACCCTCATGCTATAAGAAAAAGAAAGAAGTGAATCTCTCATGGTGGATTTCATATATCAGGGTTCCTAAAATGGGAAGAAACTTTGGGGGGCAGTAGGGGAGCCCACAAGTCTCAGAGGACCCTTCCTGGGGTGAGGAGGCTCCCTGCTAAGAAGAGGGAACTCTTCCTGTGTGTGTCCCAAAGCACCACGTTCTCCTGAGGCCAGGCCTGGACCTTGGCAGGACGTTCTGAGACCTCTTGCAGTGCTGGGCTAGGCCCACCTCCCAGGAACCGGTTCCTCTCAGGAACTGAATAACAGAGATCCTGATACTCTAGAAATCAGCCCTATTTTGGAGATTGGGGAGGGGGGCAGAAGAGGAAGCAAACTGGCTGAATTGTCAGGTCTGTGGTTTTGCATCTCCTTCTTAGGGCAGCCTGAGTTGCTGCGTGTCTGTGTGTGTGTGTATATATACTTGGGATTCAGGACTTGGAAGGTGAGGACTCCACAGTCTGATCAGGGCTTCCGGTTGTCTCCACAGTGTGGTGTGCTTTTCATTATTTTTCCGGAACCTTGTCCTTCCATGGTTTCCACAAAACGTTGCCGATTCTGGGAACATAAAGGTCAGGCTGGCTTGCATACTAAGCACTGCGTTCCCAAATATGCATTTGGTTTTGCTGGGGTCTGAGAGGAGAGCAGGAGATGGCTGAGAACGCGCTGGCCTGGGAGTCCAGTGACCTGGCTTCTTGTGTTGACTGCTGCGAATGAGCCCCTGTATTGACCCCGAGGAAGACACTTGTTCGCTCTTGGGCTCAGCTTCCCTATTTGTAAGAAGGCAAAGTCGGTGTTGTGCCTTGAAGGGCATTTTCCTGCTCTCACATGGTAAGTCACACGCTTTTCTTGTCTTTCTCAGGGCCAAAGTGCTGCCAAACCCTCAGCGCCTTGTTGCAGGCGAGAGCATGGTCCTCCCTGCTTTCTGTGACACTCACATGGCCGGGGGGGGGGGGGGGCACCGGGCCATCAGCAGCTGGACTTGTTCTGAGCCTATGTGGCAGGGGTAACAGCAGGGTCCCCTGTTCAAACTGAAACAGAAACAATGAAAACTCACTGTGGAAGAAAGTGCTGCTTTCCCCTTAGCCTGAGCATTCGCCGCAATGCTGTCTTTCCAGCTGTCGCTAATTTAAAACAAAAAAACGCTCATACTCTCAATTATAGGCGATTTTTGTCACAAAGATTGAAGGCATGCAAAGTATTGAGTCACTTCGTTGCTGGTTTTATGCGTCTCTCCAAACTGAATGAGCAGCAGTGCTTCACGGAAAGCACTGCTCTGAAATTCGAGCTTTAATATTCTAAACAGGTTGAGTGTGTTATAGACAGCACTCTCAACCACTGTCTATTTTTCCCCCACGAAGCATTGACTTTTATTTGTTTAGCTTTAAAAAAAAAAAGCCATGGGGCTGAAGGAATTAAAAGAGGAGGATGATGCCGGGGTGAAGTGTGTGCTGAATGAACGTGTGGTGCAAAGGCAAGAGAAAGAAGCACTGGACCAGGGTTCACGGTCGACTCTGAACATGCAGACCTGTGGCTGCCCTTCTCCTGATGGGGGCTTCCCACCATTTCCCTGACAGTGACACTACCACTTCTCACTGACAGCCAATGGAAGAGTCAGTTCAGGCAGGGCCTTGAAAGCCATGGTGACCCAAGGCCTGGAAACCACCATAGGCAGCAGGTCAGACTCTGCTCCTGTGACAGTCACATCACTTCTTTGGGCCTCAGTCTCCAATCTTAGAAAACAGCCTGACCAGGTACCTTCCAAAAGCTGGCTTAGGGGTATAGTAAAGAGGAAGCCAATCTGAAATGAGTTTTTTTTAAAAAAGGAGAGCGCACAGGCTTGGAGAGCTCATCAGCCTGGGGTTTCATCAGGGTTCTCTGAGCTCCTCCCTCAGAGCCTCAGTTTTCTTATCCGTGAAAATGGGGCTATAACAAGCTCCCTGGGTTGTTGTATGAGTTAACAAAAATAATCTCTGGGGAGCACTCAGTCTAGTTCCTAGAAGGAGAAGACTTGAGGAAATGTTCCTTCTTCTTCCCTTTTGACTCCATCTTTGGTTTGAGCTCTTGGCTGCATTTCCCACAACAGTAACATACACATATTTACTGACAGGTGGCTGGCTTTGCCCCCACCCGTCTTCTTTACCTGCTGTCTTTTCTCACCCTCCCTCCACACCTCTCCAGTGCTCTTCTGGCTGGTGTCCCCTGGAGGAGGAAAGCCTCTGATCCGTTTAATCGCGCCGAGGGGTGGGACATGTCCACGTGACCCCTGGCAGGAGACATCTACAAAAGAAGGGAAAGAGGGCAGTGCTTCTACCAAATGTCAAAATCACTAACTCAAAAAGATATCTATGGAATATTACTCAGCCATAAAAAGAAACGAAACTGAGTTATTTGTAATGAGGTGGATGGACCTAGAGTCTGTCATACAGAATGAAGTAAGTCAGAAGGAGAAAGACAAATACCGTATGCTAACACATATATATGGAATCTACAAAAAATGGTTCTGAAGAAACTAGGGGCAGGACAAGAATAAAGATGGAGATGTAGAGAATGGACTTGAGGACACAGGGAGGGGAAGGGTAAGCTGGGAAGAAGTGAGAGCGTGGCATGGACATATATACACTACCAAACGTAAGGTAGATAGCTAGTGGGAAGCAGCCGCATAGCACTGGGAGATCAGCTCGGTTCTTTCTGACCGCCTGGAGGGGTGGGATAGGGAGGGTGGGAGGGAGGGAGACGCAAGAGGGAAGAGATATGGGAACATATGTATATGTATAACTGATTCACTTTGTTATAAAGCAGAAACTAACACACCATTGTAAAGCTATTATACTCCAATAAAGATGTTAAAATAAATAATAATTTTTTTTAAAAAGAGGGCAGTGCATTACCCCAATGAATGATCCCCACCATAAAACACGATGAAACATGCATAACAGGCCAGTGGAGGAGATACTTGGGGAGCTGAGGTGGAGTAGAGTCAAGAGTTACAAGTATGTGCAGAACTTACAGGGCCAGCCCCACTGTCTATTATTGACACTAATTTTCAACTCCGTTCACTTCAAAAGTTAATGGTCAATCTGGCCAGAGCAGTTTCAACTTGTTCAGCTGAGCAAACCGCAGTGGTCAGACTGAAAAACACAGTCAGTTTTGTGTTCGATCTGTATGAGCCAGAGCTGGGCCGCCAACACCCGTTCACCGTGGCCGAGTAAAAAGAACGCCAAGCCGGAGCCCAAGAAAACAATGTTTGAGTCTCAGTTCTGCCGCCAGCTCACTGTGTGACCCTGGGCTAGTCTCTTGACATCTCTGGGATTTAGCTGCTGACCTTGGTAAACCAAGGGCCTGCATTAGATGACGCTGAAGGCCCATCCCAGCAGGCACTTGCTGTGATCTAAGCTACGCCAGCTACTAAAAGAGCTGAGGAGGGACCCCACTTTGTGTGGGCAAAAATGCACTACCGAAGATGACCCTCCAGCTAGTGGCTGAGTCTGAAAAGCAAAAGAAGAACTTTCATAAGGAGCAAACTTTCTTAGAGCAGTGGGTAAGAAAGAAACTTGAAAATAAGCCTTCCGGGCTTCTACCGACTTGGAAGGTGAAGTCAAAACTGAAGGACTGGAGTTACCGCCTTTCTGTCTTCAGCTTCACGATGCTCCCCTTGGCGAAAAACGCACTAAATCGTCTCGGAGTTCGAAGCATTCAGCAAACAATGGCAAGGCAGAACCACCAGAAGCAGGCACCTGATTTCCATGACAAATACGGTAATGCTGTATTAGCCAGTGGAGCCGCTTTCCACGTTGCTGTATGGGCATATACAGCAACACAAATTGGAATAGAATGGAACCTGTCCCCTGTTTGCAGAGTCACCCCAAAGGAATGGAGAGAACACTAATCATCCCAGCTGGTTTCATACTGAATTGTTTCAAAATCAACTCATAATTGATGCCAAGTTAAAAGCATTATGTACCCATTAACATATGGCGTGATTGTAGAAAATAAAGTACATTTGAAAACTTAAAAAAAAGAACTGAAGGACTGGGACTTCCCTGGTGGTGCAGTGGTTAAGAATCCTCCTGCCAATGCAGGGGACACTGGTTCGAGCCCTGGTCCGGGAAGATCCCACATGCCACAGAGCAACTACGCCCGTGCACCACAACTACTGAGCCTGCACTCCAGAGCCCGTGAGCCACAACTACTGAGCCCCCATGCTGCAACTACTAAAGCCCGCGCGCCTAGAGCCCACGCTCCACAACAAGAGAAGCCACTGCAGTGAGAAGCCCGCACACTGCAACTAGAGAAAGCTCGCGCGCAGCAACAAGGCCCCAATGCAGCCAAAAATAAATAAATAAAATAAGTAAATTTATATTAAAAAAAAACTGAAGGACTGGGGAAAAGTGTTGAGAAGTGACCTCCAGCTGACACAAAAGCCCTAGGTGGTTTTAATAATGCTAATAACTAAACCAAGAATGGCCTTGCCTGGTCCACAGCGTCCCACTTGTTCGCCTACTCTGGGGTCTTTGCAAGACAGAAGCACACCCATTGCTGATCTCCTGACTGGTCTCCGTGGGAGTTCCAGTTTTGAATAATAAAATACAAAACCTGAAAATTATATCTCAGAGCAACGCAAAGGATTTGGAGGAAGCTAGCCTTGAGGCCAAAGTGGCTCCCAGGAAAAGGATTTCTTTGTCACTCAAATGGGCTTGAAGGGGAATGTTTTAGAAGAACCACGCAAGAAAAGAGAAAATTAGTTTAGAGAAATCATACATGTCACAGACTAAATGAAAATTAATTTTTAATCAGAGCGAGCCAGACTAGACTTAACTGGGCTTGAGAGCAAAACCTGGAAAAGGACTTACGTTTTTACGTACACATTTTCAAAATCCACATTTCGCCAAAAGGCCTGAGAATGCAGAAAGCTACAACATTAGAGCCACAGGGGAAAATGAACTTGGTAAAAGACACGTTGAACGTTCATCTCCACTGAAGAAAGCTGCCTCAGTGGGTACCATCTTGTGAAAGATTTAGCTGATGCAGAAGACAATGTTCAAGTCCCCAGTGAGAAGAGTTGATAGGAATGAATGAAGGGTGAGAATTGTAATGGGGGGCGGTTGAGGGGAAGGCAACATTTTGTCAAGGATGCTCAAGTGCTCTGCACCATGGTCATGTCATGGCCATGGTCATATCTCCTGCAGGCTGACTCCAGAATGTTTAGCAAACTATGCCAGTGAGAGCTCCCGGACTCAACACCTATTATGTTTCAAGTACTTGGCTAAACACTTTACATGCTCTCTTTTAATTAACATGCTCCGCAGCCCAATGAAGTGGTTACTTCTGTTGTACTTATTTTACATATGAGTAAACTGGGTTTTACAGAGTTACAGCTACCCAGCTAGGAAGTAGTAGAGCTGTGACTTGAACCCAAATCTGTCAAACTCCACAGTGACTCCGATGCCCCAGTGATCCTCATCCAGCTCCAAGATGTCTGGGCATGAGCTGGAGAGTGTGAGATATCATGTCCCCAAATGGAATATCAAGAGACTTAGATAGGGGCTTCCCTGGTGGCGCAGTGGTTGGGAGTCCACCTGCCGATGCGGGGGACGCGGCTTCGTGCCCCGGTCCAGGAAGATCCCACATGCCGCAGAGCGGCTGGACCCGTGAGCCATGGCCGCTGAGCCTGCGTGTCCAGAGCCTGTGCTCCACGGCAGGAGGGGCCACAACAGTGAGAGGCCCGCGTAACTCAAAAAAAAAAAAAAGAGAGACTTAGATAGTCCTCATCCTAGGCAGGAGAGCTGGGCGGAGAGAGATCATGGTGTGTGTGTGTGTGTGTGTGTGTGTGTGTGTGTGTGTGCGCACGTGTGCACGCACACACGTTTGTCCATGCACCTGCTCTGAGAGCACTGAAGGAGATGGAGGGTAGGGGCTCAGAGTCTGAATTTTAGTAAAGAGGGAAGCAGAGATGGAGACACTGCGAACTGGGTAACTCAACGTGCACACAACCTTGGGACATCACCCACATTATCTGATAGTGTTATTTTTTGGAAGTGTCATAAGCAACTCTGTCCACTCCACTATGCAATAACCTTCTGGAAGGCTGGGACCTTAGCTTCTTCATTTTTAAAACTTCTCCATAGCTCCCAATAGCAATAATATTTGGTCTAAGGCTTCTCAGTTGACCAAATACTTTCACAGACACTGACTGGACCTTCATAACAACTCAGCGAGGCAGCCGTCGTTGTTCTCACTTTATCTGTGTGGAAAATGTTGTGCGTTAGGGCCGAAGGAACTTGGTCAAGGGCACACAGCTGGTACGGAGTTGCCACTGCTGACCACCCCCTTAATCCACCCAAGCACACATGCCAACATGAGGTAATGCCAAGGCACCTCACAAAGGATCTAGCACAGAGTAGGTGCTCAAGAGATGTTAGTTTTCCCCTTACTTGACAATATATGGTTTTAAAATGTTTTCTTTGCACTAACTATATCCTACTGGGTACCCCAGTATCTTCAACAGAGACTGGTCCACGTTCTCAGAGAGCTTACCATTGATGTAAGAAAATACAGCCAACGTGTGTGAACCTGAGGATAGTGAGCCACTGACTAATCTGTGACACAGGCTCTAATGCAGTGAAAGCTCTGAGGATGCTCCACAGTGGGCTGGAACGGTCAGAGGTTTCCTAGCAAACATCAGGGGGAAAGGCCTGGAAAAGCGGATCAACCCACTCTCCCCTCCTTTTTGTCTGCATCCCAGAAAGAGGAACTTTTGCTGATAGAAACTGTTTTGATCGCCTTTCCTTGTGCCCAGTGACCCAGTCCCTTCCTTATCAACGAGGTTGTATGAAAAGTGTCTTAGCTCCAGAACATGTGGTACATATACACAATGGAATACTACTCAGCCATAAAGAAGAATGAAATAATGCCATATGTACCAACATGGATGGACCTAGAGATTATCATACTAAGTGAAGTAAGTCAGAAAGAGAAAGGCAAATATCATATGATATCACTTATATCATATGGAATCTGAAATATGACACAAATGAACTTATTTATGAAACAGAAACAGACTCACGGACATAGAGAACAGACTTGCGGTTGCCAAGTCTGGAGGGGAGAGGGGGTGGGGGAGGGATGGATTGGGAGTTTGGGATTAACAAACGCAAACTATTATAGATAGATAGATCGATAGATAGATAGATAGATAACCGAATCACTTTGTTGTGCCCCAGAAACTAACACAACATTGTAAATCAACTATACTTCAGTAAAATAAAAAAAAAGTTTAAGTGTCCTAGCTCTCCCCAGCAACAAATGCAACCCTCCATCTATGGCACCAAGAGTGTGACATTGTGAGGTCTTTCATCAAGGGAGCAGTATGTGGCCACACAAGCACACCACAGTTTGTATCAACATCCACAGCTCCATTAGAACAAATAGTTTATTTTTTAGACCAAGTCAATAAGCTGCTTTTTCCAGGGAGAAGAGCGAGCGGGACAGACACAGTTCAAGTAAAATAAAAGACACTCAGCATTTCACCCTAAATGTTTCCATAGTTCCAGATCTCGCCAGCGGTTTGGTAGCAAGTCAAAGCAGAAACTGACATTTGGTGTTCCAGAGTCTTCTGGAAGAGAGCCAGATAATGAATTGTCAAATGAACAGTTTCTGGCTCTCTTATCAAGGACGAATCCTACTCCAGCTGAGTTGCTAGCAAACTAACAACAACGAGAACAACAATAATTTGCCAGGATGATGCAAACCCAGAATGCAGGAGAGGCTATTTTCTTTGTTGACTGCGTCTGGAAATATGGCTAGATGTGACATTTTATGCTGGATATCAGCTGGAAAAATTGTTATTCAACACTAATTTCATCAAAACCTGGATAGCTGATACAGCCAGATTTTGTCAAATGAGGGAGAATTAGTATGATATAAACTATTCACTATAAAGACATTACTATATTCTCTAAGCCTTCTTTGAGCTCTGTTATACACTAGAGTTTGTGGCCTAATACTTGGATTAAAAGCGGAGAGTAGGATATTCAGGCTGAATTGTGCCTCCCCCCAAGACCCCTGAAACTGATCTGAAATGATAAGGCAGTCCCTCTTAGGAATATTTACAGACTGTTCTTCATGTAAAAGAACATAAGAAGTCCCCAAAAGCCTAAGAAACCGAGTGCCCTGAGCAGATCCTTTTCCTGCCCTTCATTCTCAGAAGTTCGCTGCAAAGGCTCTGGTCAAGTGCTGCAGGCTGCTCTTTCATCTCCGTAACCTGAGTGCCTTTGCAGAACAGGCTCCCTCTCCGGTATTCAGTGAATTCCGAGTCAAGTCCAGGCTCGAGTCAGCTGCCTCCATTGTAAGTCTTCTGCAGTTCGATGGATGGCTTGGCCCTTATGCCTTGAGGATTGGAATCTCCTGGGCAGGGATAGGATTTCACTTTCCATGTCTACAGTGCTTGCACCAAGTTTATTAATATAGTCTATACAGGGTGATCATATTGAGAGCAAGCTGGAATCCACATCACAGAGCCTGTGGCTTGAAGCTAGGCTGAGCCGAGCCCCCAGGAGGAGACTGAGTCACCCTAAGCATCCAGTCACCCTGGGGAATTTTAAGAATTCAATATCAAGTCCAAGTCAATCCTGTCTAAGACACTGTGTCTTTCCTTCTATATCAGCCCCACTCTCCCAGACATCTCACCCATGCCTGGAGGTGCATTTCACCGTGTAAGGGGGAAGAAAGTAATCTGGGAAACACCTCAGGTGTTAGCTCCACGGAGGAGTTAGGGACTCAGAGTTTAAAATGAATGAATGAATCATAATACAGTGATGTATCCCAGCCTAAGAATCAATAAGACCATGGGAGGAGCTGGCAACTATAGCGGAAAGAACACACTTTCTGGAGTCAGACCAGCATTTGGATCTCCATCTGACTCCTTACTAGCTGTCTGGCCTCAAGGCAAACACTTAGCCTTCCAGGGCCTCAGTTTCCTCCTCTGTACAATGGAGATGATCCTAGTCAGCTG